GATTGACCTAGTGTCCAGAGTTCCTCTGGCCTAAAACCCAGCAGCATGTAATCTTTCAGTCTATCCTTACTAGCTTATGGAAACAAATAGCAGTGTGTGCTCTTGGTTATAAATGCTGACAGGAATATACGGTTTGAACGTGTTTTAACATATTGTTTGGGCCAAAAGCTCTGTCTAGGTAAGGCCAATTCTTTTTAGGTAGGTTAGCTAACACCTTTTAATTACAGTGAAGTCTCATTTATCCAGCATAATGAGAGTGGAATAATTGCTATAAAGCAAATAACATACAGATAATGCAAAACATGTGCATGAGAAGAGGCTGCGGGAACACTCTCCTTGGAGTGCACTCTCGGTGCACATTGATTGCTCAGGGAGATGAGGCAGTTCAAGCAGGCGGAGGAGGAGGACCACTGCCTGGTACCGATGGCAGATTTACAGCTTCTTGCTTGATGTAGCACTATGCTGCGCTGGGGCAGGGTTAAACCATGCTCCTGCCCACCCACTGGCATATACCATTTGGGAATTTGCCAGTCATCCATGAACTGAGGAACTGAGCCCTAAAAACATACAACAGATTGGACTGATGACAGGGGGTTCACTGCAGAAGTTATCTTCTTACCTGCCTGGAAACACAGGCACGGGGATACCTGTTAAGAGACTATACGTAGACCCTTCTCTGGCCCAATGCATTTCTTATCAGCTTCTGGCCAGCACAAGGATGGTGCTCTGGAGACTACTTTCTTTCCTTCTGCCTCTGATATGCCCCTACCTGTGGGATGAAGATTTTGTTACCACCCTCTTAAGTCCTTTGGTACGGAAAAGTATTTCTGCTTCTTTACTGCTTCTTTAGCTTTTTGGATTTCGTAGACTCCCCAGGTAGGACTCATACAGGCATACAGGTATTCACATCTGAGATGCACTGCCCAGTCCCCCATGGATATCTTCATAGCCAGTGGAGAGAAGCAGACTCTTTTAGTGCTCAGTTCATCTGCTCTATACTGCAGCAAGACCAGTACCACCACTGCAAATACGGTTTTGGTGAGCTGGATCCCTCCCATCCCATGCTCCTGTGAGCAGCTCCAGCTGCTGCTGCCTCTGGAGTTTTCCTCTGCTGCTCCATGAAACTGGTATAATGCTTGCCAGGTCTGCTGCTGCTCAGCCAGCTCTGACCAGCAGCCCTAGAAAATGAGGAACTGGTGATCCCTTTGCACCCAGCAGAGGTGCTGAGCAAGGGACAGCTGTGCTACAGCAATGCCGTGCAGCATTGGGAGGTTGGCACCTTGCAGCGGGCACCACCGCTAAGAAAGTGGCTTTCTTCAGCTCTGTGAGAACTCGGTGCAACTCCTCTAAATGAAAGCTGAGAATCTGGATGTGTGAACAGCACTTGCCAGGAAAAGCCTTTGACTCGCCCTGAGTGAGTCAGCGAGAGGAATTTTCAAGCCTTGAACTCCTTCCCAGCTCTGACCAGGGTACTTTTAATTTCTGTTCTGCTGCACAGATTTTGCCACCTCACTCAGTCTTTCCACTGACTGCTCTGTGGCTGCCTAGAGGGCTAAAACCTCTGTGGTGGTGAAGAATTCAGAGATTCTCTTGTTTGTGGCTAAAAATTCCCCAGAGGGCCTTGTTCTCCTTGCTCTTTTGGTAACAGATGCCACTCTCCAGGGCTCAGCAACTCAGAAGGAAGTGTGACCAGAGGCATGAAGCTCAGTGACTGAGTGCATTGGGACCTGTCTGTCCTCATAATTTACCTGTGTTGTGTCCCCTCAGTGGAGTCCTTTTCTTCCACCTGCTATTGTCCACCGAGAGCCCGGGGTGGATCCTTCCTTCTATGCATGCCCAAGCGTTGATGATCTTTGCTCAGCTGAAGACAAATACGGTCATGTCTGAAGTCATAGAATCGTTTAGGTTGGAAAAGACCTTTAAGATC